TCCAACTTCAGCTCTCTCTTCTCTGTAAAACAGAATGTTGGAGCTCGTGGCCCAGAAGCAGCGGGAACGGGAAGAAAGAGAGGAGCGAGAAGCTTTGGAGCGAGAAAAGCAGCGGAGGAGACAAGGGCAGGAGCTGTCAGCTGCACGACAGAAACTGCAGGAAGATGAGATGCGCCGAGCTGCTGAGGAGCGCAGGAGGGAAAAGGCTGAAGAATTAGCTGCCAGGTCTGGATGCTAAGTGTTGTTGGTAGTTGAGAAGGGAATCTTCTTTTTCCTTGTCTGTCTCTGACCTCTTTTCTTCCTGTCTGCATTCCAGACAAAGGGTCCGAGAAAAAATTGAAAGGGACAAAGCAGAGAGAGCCAAGAAGGTGAGTGAAGTCTGTGGGTATAATGGAGTAGGCTCAAGAGAAAGCATGTGCTTACATGATTTGTGTGTTTGAGACAGTTTTACTCTGTAGCCCAGACTGGTCTCAGAGTCCTGGCTGTTTTCTTGCCTCAGCCTTCCAAGTGCTAGGACTGAAAGGTGTGAGCCACTGAACCTGCGTGGGTTTGTTTTGTCTGTGTGCTGGAGGTTGAATCTTTATATATGCCAGACTAGTGTACTACCACTGAGCTAGTGTTTTATTTTGTCTTCCAGTATGGTAGTAGTGTGGGTTCTCGGTCATCCCCACCAGCAACAGATCCAGGTCCTGTTCCTTCTTCTCCCAGCCAGGAGCCCCCTACCAAGCGGGAGTATGACCAGTGTCGAATACAGGTATATTTTCTGGGGACTGTCTTGCTCCTGGAACCCTATAATGCCCAACTCAACCTAAGTTCCATTTGCCAGATCTCTCCCTTCTTTGTACATGACTTTTGAAATCTTATCTCCTCTACTCTTGGGAGTGATCGAATTTCACCTGCCTGTCTTATTTAAATCCATACTTCATTCTTACTCAGCAGTTCCCTTTAATTTATTCATGTTTTTATTAGACTATTACACAGCTGTTTTCATAATACGTCACTTATTCTGGCTTTTAAAAATAATTCCATTTGGTCTTTTCTTGATTGTGAGGTAGCTGGGAGTCCTTTTTCATCACCTATTGAAGCAAAGTGTAAGAGTTGTTCTTCAGGCCTTTAAATAGTATTTGTGCTGGTTCAGACACTCCAAGGAAGCAGGGCCAGCTTTAGTCCTTCCTTTCCTTTCTTCATTACTTCAGTTTGCTTTTATTCTTTTGAGACAGAGTTTCCATACGTAGACTAGGCTGGTCTTAACTCGCTTCAGCCTGAGTGCTGGGTTTACTGGCAAATGCCACCATCTGAGACTTTCTTTTATTTGCGGGACTGAGTCTTGCTATACAGCCCTATGGACCTGGAGTCCACTATGAAGATAAAGCTGACCTCAAACTCCTGGAGGTCCTCCTTCCTATTTCTTCTGTGTGCCATGATTATAGGTATTGCTGTTACCTGGCCTCACCCTATTTATTTACTTATTTATTTATTTATATATATATTTGAGGCAGTTTTTGTGTGTGTGTGTGTGTGTGTAACAGCTTTGGCTGTCCTGGAACTCACTTTATAGGCCACACTGGTCTCCAACTCAGAGAGATCTGCCTGCCTCTGCCTCCTGAGTACTGGGATTAAAGTCATGCACCACCACACCCCACACCCTTAATGCCAGTCTCAAACTTTTTTCTGCTTTCAGCCCTGGAACTTTATGTAAAACAGGCTGGTCTTGAAGTTTCAGAGATTTGTGTGCACCCCTGCCTGCTAAAGGCATGAGCAACCCCATACCTAGTCCTCACTCTTCAGTGTTCATAGTGCTTTTTGCCTTCTAGGTTAGGCTGCCTGATGGGACTTCCCTGACCCAAACGTTCCGAGCCCGGGAACAGTTGGCAGCTGTGAGGCTCTATGTGGAGCTTCACCGTGGGGAGGAACCTGGACAAGACCAGGACCCTGTGCAGTTGCTCAGTGGCTTCCCCAGAAGGGCTTTCTCAGAGGCTGACATGGAGCGGCCTCTGCAGGAACTGGGTATGTTATGTGAGACCAGGAGGCAAAACTTAAAGGAATGGGGGGGGGGGGTAGTAGCGATAGGTAAAGGGGCTTAGTGGACATGTTATATGTCCAGGAACTTGAAGCCTAAACGTTAAGTGTTCTTGTAATTCAAACTTTTTCTTCCGTCTTTAGGACTTGTGCCTTCTGCTGTCCTCATTGTGGCCAAGAAGTGTCCCAGTTGAGGGTCCTCCATCCCACCATCCTTCTCTGACCTCTTCATCTTTGATAAAGCACTGACATTTCCTTCCTAATAAATAGACCCTTTGAGTTCTGTATATGCCTGGCTCCTTCCTGAATGACTGGATAGGGCAATATGAAGAAAAGATAAATAGAGCTTTTTCTCATCTTCAGTTTGCAATACATTTTTCTAGAACTGATTAGCTACTTGGTGTGTGTGTGTACACACGCATTACATGGCATCTTTTGTTCATAAGCATGAACAAGCATAAAGTGGTACATGAGGACTTTGTTTTGACACAGAGACTAATCAGGCTGGGCCTCAAACTCAGAGGTCCCTTGTTTCCCAAGTGCTGGAATTCAAGGTATGTACCTTGATGCTGGGCTGGGGTTTAAAATCCTTACTGGACCTGGCAGTGGTGGCACATTCCTTTAGGGAGGCAGAGGCAGAAGATCTCTTGTGAGTTCTAGGTTAACAAATCACATTCCAGGACAGCCAAGGATATACAGAGAAACCCTGTCTCGAAAAAGAAAACACAAACAAAAAATGTCCATACTGTTATGTGCCTTGACTTCTTGGAGCCCCTTTATTAGTATGATAGGCCAGTAATACCTATTTCCTGTATTGTGAGACACCTACATGCTTTAGAACAGTGTCTGTCTGGCATAGTGCATCCCTGTAAGCACTGCCTATGTATAAAGTAGTGGGTTTGTGGGATGTTTTTGGTTTGGGGTGCTGTGGAATGACCTTACAATCTACCATAGAGGACATCTCCATTTTGGGGTGACTTTGTTTTTTAAACTTGTCCACAAACATTGACAGGAATTGTTTAATGACTTTCAAAGAAAATGGAATATGTGTTGTGCTCTAAGACCAAATCATGGGCTGGAGGGATGGCTCAGTGGTAAAAAGCAGCATTAGCTGCACCCCAGAGGACCTAGGTTCAATTCCCAATACCCACATGGCAGCTTACACCTGTCTATAACACCAGTTCTAGGGGTTTCTGACACCCTCATACAGACATATATTGCAGGTAAAACACCAATGAACATAAAAGAAAACTTAAAAAAAAGACAAAGCATCACTGGGTGTGGTAATCCAGGGCATCTGATGCCCTTTTCTAGCCTCTAGGTACCAGGTATGCTCATGGTGCACATGTACACATACAAACACTCACACAGACACAGAAGTGTTTTGAGGAACTAGAGAGATTGGCTCAGTGATTAAGAGTACTGATTATTCTTGCAAAGGACCTGAGTTCTATTCTACCCTCACCCACAATGATGGCTGTTAATCATTTGTAACTCCAGTACCGAGGGAGCCAACACCTGACTTCCATGGGCATGTGGCACACATATTCATGCAGGCAAAACATTCAAACACATAAATCCTTTTTTTGGGGGAGGGGGCTGGGGTGGTTGGTTCTCTGTGTATCAGTCCTGGCTATCTTGGAACTCTCTTTGTAGACAAGGCTGGCCTTGAACTCAGGGGTATCTGCCTGCCTGTCTCCTGAGTGCTGGGATTAAAGGCTGCATTGGAAGCTGGGCAGTGGTGGCACATACCTTAAATCCCAGCATTCAGGAGACAGGCAGGTGAATCTCCAAGTTAGGGCCAGCCTGGTCTACAGAGTAAGTTCCAGGACAGCCAGACAACACAAAGAAACCCTGTCTCAAAACAGATTGTTTTGAGTACCACATTGTTTTCCATAGTCTATAGTGCTGGGGATTGAGCCCAGGGCTTTATGCATGCTGGGAAATACATAGATCAGCCAGCATATTGCAAGACCATTGTCCAAACTGACATTGGTAGCGGATATATAAACCTGTACACCCATTTGGGAAGCCTAGTTCAATGTAGTTTTGTTGAAAAGGGCCTCTCTGTCCTAGCCCTAGCTATCCTCGAACTCAGAGAGATCTACCTGCCTCCTCTACAGAGCTAGGATTAAAGGTATGTCTCCATGCCCTGCTTGGCTCAAGACTTCCAGAGCTACTTACCTCTTTGCCCTAGTGTCTTTTGTCAAATCCCTGCTGACTTGTTCCTCTTGTTCCTGGGCACAGAGAAGGGGCCACAACTGAGCCTTAAGAATTCTCATGTAGTATAATGGTGGACAGCTTTAATCCTTGCACACAGGAGGCAGAGGCAGGCAGATCTCTGAGTTCCAGAACGGCCAAAATGACACAGAGATCCTGCCTTAAACAGACACAGAGTAAGGTATGAGCTGAACACATTCAGCAGCTGGACAAACATTAGTATTCACCTCTGGGCTTGCACTACATAAACTACTATAAAGTTCTTTGAGAGAAACTCATGTATCCCAAACTGACTTTGGAAATAAAATAATTGGACTCAGAATGAAAGTATACTATTATGTTGAAAACCTTGGTTGTGAAGACCCATTATATATGTATGGGTATGCCTGTGGAGGCACAAATGTAGAGGTCATAAGAAACCAGGAGTTAGTTCTCTCTATTCACCATGTGACAAACTCTGTCTTTAACCAACGTTAAATAATAACTAGAGGAGGCATGGTGCAGTCAAGGGACATTTCAATTTCCTCAAAGGACAGGAGTTCTCTATGGTATTCACTGCAAAGCGGATGTACAAGGACTGCTCTAATTTGAATAATATGGCCTGGAGCTGAGCATAGAGTCTCACTCCTGTAATCACAACACTTGAGAGTGGAATATATATCCAATTCCAGACTAGCCTGAGAAATATGAGAATGTCTCCAAAAAAAAAAAAAAAAAAAAAAAAAGGGTGAAAGCGCTTGGCTAACAAGCCAGACACCATGTGGAAGTAGAGAACTGGTTTTCAGTTTCATTTTTCATTCACACAACATAGACACAAAAAGACTTTAGCAAGTCGTTTACTGCCAGTTGCAGAAGCAAACTTAGATCATGTGACCTGTTTGTTCAGAAATGTCAGAAAACCTATTGGACTTAGAACTCTCCAGAGAGAGTGGCAGACAGTCGGCTGCCCCTGTCTTCTGCACCCATCGTGCCAACACTCAAGCTCTCTAGGCGTTAGATATCCAGCTGTGAGTTTACTTAACGTATGAACTGGATTTATTCCTTTGGTTCCATACATCCGACCATCTCGGCCCTGTCACGCTATGTGCACGTTAAACGCGTTCACCGACCGGAGCTCCCTGTGCCTGGTAGAGTCCTGTGTTACTCTGAATCTGGCGCACGAAGAGCCTCGAAGGTCCCGGCGCCCACCTGCAAGCTCTGGTGTCACGCTGACCTGCTGCCTTTGTTAACTGCTCCCAACCAGTTCTTCCTCCAGGTCACGTTCTCCTCCGTGGCCGCCGCTTTCTTCAGGGTAGCCATCACAAGTTCCTTGGTCCTGACAGCTTCGTCCCTGCGCCGCGAGTCCCGTTCCGGCATCTCCTAAGGACAAGAAGGATGTTTGCAGCCTGGGCCGGAAGACCATGGCCTCTCCCCCCACTCACGCCCACCACGGGGAGCACAGGTGTTTCTACCTGCAGCATTGCCTGCTTCTGTAGTTCTCCTGGGACCACAAGAGCAAATAGAGTGGTGCCCACGCCGGCACCCGTGCCTAGCACTGCAACCGCGACTAATGCTTTACGAAGCGAATCCATGGCCGACTACCAACGAGGCGCCCTCGGAGTCCTCCCGCAGCCTAGACGGGAGCCACGACGTCTCACTGCTCCCTGTGCGGGATAGAGCGACCTAGGGAGGGGGCGGGGCCTAAAAAACCATAGAGCAACTGCTGGGCTAGAGAGGTTCTGGTTCTTAGAAACTTTTAGACGCTTTAAGTCTTGAGAACATAGATTTTTAAAAAAACAACAAAAGCCCTCAAGTGGTGGAGCACGCTTTTAAACCCAGCACTCCGGAGGCAGAGACAGACCAGATCTCTGAGTCTGAGACCAACCTGGTGTAAGACCCTCAGAATGAGGAGTCTTCCAGGTTCGGTCGATACCCCAAGAACCCAATGTCCAGTCCAGTTGCTGCAAAACGCAAGAGGCTTTAATGAACAGGAAACGTTTGCGCAAACGGGCTCCTCCAGCACGCAGGCTAGGGAGAAGTCCTCTCCCCCGGGCACAGGTGTTTTTAAAGGCAACCCCACAAGCTTAGGGAGAGGGTGGGACCCTCTGTCCATTGAGTACATGACCCTTGGAGGCCGGATGGTCTGCTATTAGGGTCAGCCGACCTTAGGGCCTCAGGTGTGCTAATTAATCTTGTCTGGGCAAACCACAGTTACAGCTATCTCTTGACCCTATTTACCACCTGTTGACTCACAGGAAAGGAGGGGCAGTGTGAATTCTTCTCATCTCAGGGCTTTGTGAGAGGAAGCTAGCAAATTCCAAGGAACAGATATTGGTTTCTAAGTTAGTCCATCATTAACATTACTTTTTAGGTCTTTCACTGGTATACAGAGTGAGTTCCAGGACATCCAGGACTACACAGAGAAACCTTGTTTCTAGAAAAAAGAAAACACTAAATCTGTTTCGCTCTGTGCATCCCTAGCCAACTTGGAACTCCCTGTGTAGAAACTCCTTATGTAGAGACCTCTGGCCTCTAACTCACAAGGAAGCCACTACCACCTCACCCAACACAAGATCCTGGAGCTTAATTGAGGAAAGGACCTTGAGCATGTTAAGAAATGCTAGAGCTGGATGAAGTGATGGCTCTGAGGACCTGGGTTCAATGTCCCGCACTCTCACAGTGGCTCACAACTCCAGTTCCACGGGATCTGACACCCTCTACTGGCCATCTTGGGCACCAGACAAGCACTGTGGTGCACAAACCCATGCAGGCAAAAATTTATACACATAAAACAGTGAAGAAAAAAAAAAAAAAAGTTAGATCTAAAGGCCATTGAGTGCATTGCATACTAGCTGTGGGTTTTTCAATTGCCAGTTTTCGCTGGTGGCACAGGCCTTTAATTCCCAGGGTGGGTCTCTGACTGCGTGGCCAGCCTGGTTTACAAAATTAGGTTCAGGATAGCCAGGCCTACAGGAAGAAACCCTGTCAGGAAAAACCAAAAGAGATGATAGGTATGTAGGTAAGTAGGTTGGTAGGTAGGTAGATAGACAGATAGATAGATAAAAATGATTAAAAGTAAAAAAAGTTTTCAACCCCTGGAAGTTTCAGATCGATAAAGGACTGTTCTTAGTTTTTTTAAGTGTACAGTGTAATGACTGACACCTGAAATCTCAGTACTTAAGGAAGGTGAGTCTGGAAGAGACTGAGTTGGGAGCCAGTCAAGGCTTCGTAGGAAGACCTTGTTTCAAAACAAAGTACAAAGAGGTTAGGACAAACAGAAAATGGAAGCCCCCGGGACGATTGTGGTGCACACCTTTAATCCCGGAATTTGGGAGGCAGAGACAGGTAGATCTCTGTAAACTCGAGGATAGCCTGCTGTACAGAGTTCCATGACACCAAGGCTGTTACACAGAGAAACTGTCTTGAAAAAACTAAAATAAAAAACAATTCAAAGCCAAGTGGAGAGAATAGAGAACAGATTTTTTTCTCTCTTTTTTTTTTTTCTTATTTTGCATATGGATCCCAGTTCCTTCTCCCTCCCTCACCAGATTTTTTTTTTCTTAATTTCTCTTAGGTTTTGAGGATTGAAATCAGAGTATCAGGCAAGCTTGGTACCACCATATATATGCTTACTTAGTCCATTCCTTACTTCCTTGTTTTTTGTTTTTGTTTTTCTAAAGAAAGGGCTTCTAGGACTGAAGAGATGGCTCAGTGGTTAAGAACACTGACTGTTCTTCTAGAGGACCCTGGTGGTTCAATTCTCAGTTTCCATATGGCAACTCTCAATTGTAACTACAGTTCCAGGGGATCCAATACCCTCATGCAGACATGAATCTGGATAAAACACAAATCCACATACAGTGGATTTTTTTAAAGGGCTCCCAGGATTTCACTGTGTACTCCTGCTTGGCCTAGAACTTGCTGTGTAGAAAAGGCTAGCCTTGAGGTCTTAAAGTTTTGCCTGTCTGTGCTTCTTAAATGCTAGAATTAAAGGCATGTGCTATCATTTCATACCTGGCTTGTTTTTGAGTCAGGGTTTCTCTGTGAAGTCCTGGCTGTCCTGGAACTCACTCTGTAGACCAGGCTAGCCTTGAACTGAGATCCACTTGCCTCTGCCTCTTGAGTGCTGGGGTTAAAGGAATTCACCACTGCTGCTCAGGGTTCTTGGCAAGTTAGGAGAGATGAATCAGTGTTTAAGAGCACTGACTGTTTTGATTTGATCCCCAGCACCCACATGGTACCTCACAACCTTCTATAACTCCTGTTCCAAGAGAGCCAATGCTGTTTTCTGGCCTCCATGGCAGAAGGCATACCTACAGGCAAAACAGCAATACCTATAAAATACACATTTAAAGTAAATAAATAAAAAGTGTTCCTGGCAAAGGCCACATAAACATTCATTAAATGACATACAAATTAGCCCACTTGAGAAAAACAGTAAATCTACTATCACAGCTCTTTATTTATAGGGCTTTAATCCAGATGCCCTTGTCTCCTACCTTGACTGCCATCCCCAGTGTCCCAGGGAGTAAACAGAATAAAGCTCCTGTCTTTTCTCTTTAGCTTCTCCCCTCCCTTGGAAGGCCCATAATCTCCCAGCACCTAGGCATTCTTTCCCCAGGAGTGATTAAGGGGCCCTCTCCAAAGAAGATTAAAACCTAGTCCATGTGAGACACTGTACAGGGGTACTTGACCTGAAATCCAACTACTCAGCACTCTTAAAAGTCACTGTCATGGCTCTTGTGCCAGGGAGTAGCAAGGATGGACCTTGGTCTGGAGATAGCCCAGAATCTTCATGGCATCCAGAAAGTCCTCATTTGATGAATCCTTTCTTAAATAGCAGAGAAGAGACTGAGACTGGCAGATGTGAAGGTTACCAGGATGCTCGGGTGAGTACTGCTGGTCCTGGGACTGGCTCATTCTCAAAATGGGCCCAACGCCACTGTTGTACTTATATTTATGCAGGTGTCTCAAAAGCCCTGCCTGCCCTCTGTTGTGGTAGAGGCCTCAGAGGGGAGTGAGGAAGACCAGGGGGATAACCAGTGGCCACATGAGGAGTTGTTGCTGCTCACTGAAGGTGAAGAAGAAGAAGCAGAAGCCTTCTTCCAGGGCCAAAATGAAGAGCCAGGTGAGGGTAGTGGCTTATACATTCAGGCCATTGCCATCCAAATATTCTAGACCCACAGTATGTGTCCAGGAATGTTAGAAATAGGAGGTGTGGCCTAAAGTGCATAATAGCATGCATAGGACCCTGGGTTGCATCCCTAGTACACCACCCAGACACACAGACACAGACAAACAGACACACAGACACACACACACACACACACACACACACACCATGGTAAATAGGTGAGAGTTTAGGTAGTTGATATAGATACCATTGATGAACATTAGAGGACAGCTTTGGTGTTTTATGTTTTGTTTTATTTTCAATGAAGTCTCACTCTACAGTTCAAACTGACCTCAAACTGAAGATCTTCCTGTTTCAGCCTCTGAAATTGTGGGGTTACAAACCTGTAACACCATGCCTGGCTTGCTTTTGTTTTCTTGTTCCTTTATTTTGGCAATGAATAATTAACCTAGAGAGGTACTCTACTGCTGAGTGATATCCCCAGTTCTTTTCATTTTTAATTAAGTTATTTGAGATAGTCTCTCTCTCTGCAGCTCAATGCTCACTGTGTAACCCAGGCTGGCCTTGAACTCATGATAATCCTTTTGCTTCAGCCTTCTGAGTACCTGAGATTATTAAAAGCCTGAACCCTAGGCTCTCCACCCAGCATGGTTTGGAGGGCCATTCTGATCTTGCAATGAGTGAAGTCTTTAAAAAAAAAAAAAATTTAGGTGTGGCTGGAGAGATGGCTCAGCAGTTAAGAGCACTGGCTGCTCTTCCAGATGTCCTGAGTTCAATTCCCAGCAACCACATGATGGCTCACAACCATCTGTAATGAGAGTGCTTCTGGCCTGCGGGGATAAATGCAGGCAGAATACTACTTACAATACATAAATAAATAAATCTTTTTAAAAAAATAATCACTAAAAAAAAAGTGAGAAATTATGCTTAGCTGGGTGCCGTGGCTCCTGCCTTTAATTCGCACACTTGGGAGTTTATAGGCCAACTTAGTCTATATAGTGAGAATGTATCTCCAAAAGAATAATAAATAATAAATTTTCTATTTACTTGTAAGCATGAGTATGGGTGCACCTGAACCACAGTGTGTTTATATAGGTCAGAAGACAACTGTGGGAGCTGGTTCTCTCATTCCACCTTTGCAGGTTCTAGAGACTAAACTCAAGTTTCCAGGCTTGGAAGCCAGTTTTCTTTCTTTCTTTCTTTCTTTCTTTCTTTCTTCTTCTTCTTTTTTTTTTTTTTTTTTTTTTTTTCCTTTTGGGTTTTTGAGACATTTCGAGACAGGGCTTTTCTGTATCGCTTTGGAGGCTATCCTGGAACTAGCTCTGTAGACCAGGCTGGCCTCAAACTAACAGAGATCTGCCTGCCTCTGCCTTCTGAGTGCTGGGACTAAAGGCATGCACTACCAATGCCTGGCTGGGCAGCCATTTCCTTATAGGCAGAGCTCCACCCTTTCTACTATTTGCTTGACCGTTTGCTTTCTTTTGTTTGTACTGTTGAGATAGAACCCAGGGCCTTAAAGTATCTTCTAAAAATGTGTGTGTAGCTGGGCAGTGGTGGCACCTATCTTTAGTTTCACCACTGGAAAGTCAAAAGTGGGTAGATCTCTTCCACACAGAGTTCCACAACAGCCAGGAATGTATATTGAGACCAGGCAATGATGGTGCAAGCCTTTAATCCCAGCATTGAGGAGGCAGAGACAGGGGAATCTTAGTGATTTTGAGGCCAGTCTGGTCTATAGAGATAGTTCCAGGACAGCCAGTCTACACTGAGAAACCAGTGTCAAAACAAAACAAAACAAAAAACAACAACAACAAAGTGTGTTGAAGGTGTATTTCAGGGATAAGGCATGCTTGTGTTCCTGCACACTGGTGGAAGGCAGGAGACAACCACATGGGTCTTAAGAGTTTAAACACTGTCAAACTTGGCCTGCTTGGCCTTTTGCTGCTAAGCCGTCTCACCAGGTCCCCAAACCAAGGCCTTTTGCATGTTAGATAATTGATCTATCACTGAGCTGCACCCACAGCCTTAATTTGCACTTTGTTTTGTTCTGCTTTCTGGAGATATGATTCATTAATCTTAACTTGTTTGGCCTGGGTCTTGCTATGTTGTCTAATGGTAAGCTGGACTTTTAATACTTTAAGATACTTACATGGTTCATTACTGATGAGGGGAGATGGTGATATAATTACCCCATATAGAACTATCTAGAGGTAATGAACATTTTAGATGGATGGCTGTATATTGTTATAACATTTCAAGATTTTGTTTGTTTTTTGAGCATTATGTACCAATCACTGAGCTAAGTATTTTTTAAAATTTTATTTTTATTTCATTTGCATTGGTATTTTGTATGCATGTCTCTATAGGGTTGTCATATTTTGGAGTTAAAGACAGGTAACTGCCCTGTGGATCCTGGGAATTGAACTGAGGTCCTTGGGAAGAGCAGCCAGTGCTCTTAAATGCTGAGCCATCTCTCCAGCTCCTGGGCTAAATATTTTTACCTTATGATTTTTCAGAACAACTCAACAGGAGATAACTTCCCTTTGTAAATGAGTAAAGTGGGCTGGAGAGTTGGCTCAGTGGGTGGAGAATGCTTGCTTTGCAATCATGAGAGCTTGAACAGTATTTGTACAGATATCAGCTGTGAATAGCAGTCCACCTGCAATCACAGTGCACTCTAGAGGCTGAGATCTCTGGAGCAAGCTACCTAGCTAGACCAGCTAACAGGCAAGCTCTGGGTTCAGATACCCTGGCAATAAGATCAAAAGAGGAAGGTATCTGATATCCATTTCTGGATTCACCTGTATTCACTCAATACCACTACAGAGAAGGCCTGCCTGGATGTCATAAAAATCAAACTAGCTCTATTAGCCCAGTACAATTAAAAAGGTAGTCAAACTCTTTCATATACAGAAAAATAACAAGAATTGGAGCAGCTCTAAAAGAACTTGCTACTTTTGCAGTCATGTTCCCAACCACATGTAACTACAGTTTTAGGGCATTGGATTTCCTCATGCACGGGGCATGCATATGCTAAACATCAGTACACACTAAAATGGCGAAATACATTGTTCCAGGCCAGCCTTGTCTCAAAATAAACAGAAGACACAGTATATGGAGAGTATCATAGGCTAATTCTTCTCTCAGGTTGGTCTTGGATCCCACAGGACCCCACATCTCCTTTAAGAACATTTAACCCTGGACTTGGCTGGGGGCATGAACAGGAAGCGTATGATTCCTGGATTCCTGACGACGCTGAGGGTCAAGAAACTCCCAACCCCTGTTCTCTTTGGGACCCAACAGGGTCCTGCATCTACAGAACCCGATTTGTGGAATATTCCCATTTCCCACCTTCCAGTACCTTTCGGGGTAAGTATTATAGTTTTCTCCTCGATTTTTCATTGTCGTTTTCAAAGCCTTTTGCCCATCCTAGGCCACAAGACACAATTTAATGCTGTAATTGGATAATGTATCTATCAGGCCCAGGTAGAAGTAGACAGATCATGGGAATTGAGGACCAGACTGGACTACAGAGTTACAGGACAGCAGATTTGTTACAGAGGCAGGATGTTTAGCCATGGCCTCATTGCATAAAGCACAGCAAACAAGTACAACCCTAGGGGAGGCTGGAGACTTCACTGCTCACATCCAATATCGTCAGCGGACAACCTGCTTTCTGCATCAGTTTAAACAGTTGTCCCTGAATTTCCACACTAGGAACCAGAAGGCGTGGTCACCGCCCATTTCATTGCTGATAGAAGTCATTTCAGATTACAGATCCCCATGTGTGCCGGTCTTTAATCCCAGCACTCAAACTCGAGTTTGAGGCCAGCTTGGTCTACAGATAGTTCTAGGACAGGATCCAAAGCTACACAGAGAAACCATGTCTTAACCCTCCCCACCAAAAAAAAAAGAGGTCTTCCTGATCGTACCTTCTATATCTATAAAGGCTTGCGCAGACATCTTAAAAGGCTGACACCCGAGGTTCACACAAGATGCAGAAAATCTTTAGTGAGTTGTCGCGCGGACCCCTAACATGTGTTAAGTTCCGTGACGCGGAAAAAAAGGAGAGCACACAGAGCTCTTAGGATTCAGTGGACTTTATTTGTTCAACAAGAAATGGTTAAGGAAAACATGTTACTTATCACTCCCGGGGCGTCATCCGCAGACCTGGAATGAAAATAAAAACGTTTTAGTGTCACCTAGAGGGGACTGCTGCATCTGGCTACAATTATGCGTGTCGAGCGGTGTCCCGGCGTTTGAGGATAGAACCGGCGAACGGGAGGCCGCAGGCACCGAAGACATGACGCCGAGAGGGCCGGAGCCCTTTCCTTCTGCCTCCGTACATAACGGGGAGCGGGACCGCACGCCCGGTCCCCGCCAAGAAAAGGAGGGTCTACACTACCAGGCCCAGACCCCCAACAACAGCAAAACGCCCAAGGACACCCACGAAGAGACAGACTTACGTGAACACCGCCCTTGGAAAGACTACAAGGAGCGCGGAACCCGGCTATATAGGCCTGGAGCCTGCCCCCGAGCTGCGATTGGTCCGAGGGTGCCAGGGGGCGGAGCCTTTGAGCTGGGCGGAACTTGCAAGCGGAGCGGAAGTGCGGCTCCTTGTGTGAACCTCCAAGTGCAGCTATGGGGCCACCGGGAGGAAAGATCAATCGTCCGCGGACGGTGACTGTGGGGACGGCATCTTTGAGTCTCAGAGCGTTTCCCTCTCCCTAGATAGGATCAGTGGTGTCTGGGGTAGCCCGGTGCAGGGATCCCGGTGGACGGACACGACCTTACTCTGATGCGCGTCTTTTTCTCCCTCAGGAGCTGAAGAAGAAGTTGTTCAAGCGCCGGAGAGTGCTGAGCAGGGATCGGCGACGGAAGCGCCAGGTGGTCGGGGCCGTGATAGACGAAGGGCTGATTACGAGGCACCACCTCAAGAAGCGGGCGTGAGTATGGTACTAGCTCCCTCCGAGTTGTCATTCCTATCGCCTTCCTACCAAACTTTTCTTGTTTTCTCTCACGGTTAAGCAGTTGACAGTTATGTCAGTTCTCAAGCAACCAGCCTCTCACAATACCGTTGCTTACAGGGTTTTTTAGGTTTGGATTCGACTAAGAAATTAAGATTGTCGATTCTTCCACCCTTCAAAGGTTATCTATATTAACGTATATTTTTGAAATAAAAACGCACAAATAAGTGCAAACAATTAGTCTAATTTTCACAAAGGTACACCTAGAATTTTGGATACACATTCTAGTTCTGTGATAACTTCTGTGCCTTAGGTTGGTTGGTTCAGATGAACCTGGACATGTTTGTTCCTATCTGTCTGTTAGGTCCAGTGCACGTGCCAACATCACACTATCCGGGAAGAAGCGCAGGAAACTCCTGCAGCAAATCCGCCTTGCCCAGAGAGAAAAAGCATCCATGGAAGGTATGTCTTGGGTACAGACATTCCACGAAAGGGAGTCTGGATTTTACCTTGGTTCTTATATGCTCCCTCTTTTATTTCCCTTTGTTTAGTGGAAGCCCCCTCCAAGCCAACCAGGACTAGTGAGCCACAGCCCAAACGACAAAAGAAGATAAAAGCCCCCCAGGATGTAGATATGGAGGATCTTGGAGATGAGAGCTAAAGTCCCTCCCTCTTCTATTAGAAGATTCTCAACCTCGGCCAAAAGGATTTGGAAGACTTTGGAGAAAATACTACCATATTTCACTGTCCCAGATACTGCTTCCATAATGAGCCCATTGGACTCACATATTGGGAGGGAAGAGAACACGGAAAAAGACTGTAGAGGGCCCTCTCTAACAGTCAACTCTTGTAATAAAGCCCTAGAGCTTTGACTAACTTGTGTCATTAAGAGCAAGAATGGGAATGGGCCTTCTAAAACATCCTCGAGAGATATTCCAGAAGCAGGTTAGTGTGCTTGAGCAAAGCAACAGGAAACTAGGTAGTGAAGGTCCTGGTGGTGCATGCCTTTAAGCCCAGCACTTTGAAGGGAGGACAGGCAGATCTCTGTTGTAGGCCATCTTGGTCTACATATGAATCCCAGGGCTGCACAGTACAAAAAGAAACTGGGTGGCGTCTTCAGTGGTCCCCTCTTTCTAGATAATAACACAACTTTCCATTTCTGAAAAATGCAGGCTATTGGTATGGTAGGTGGGGAGGTAAGGATCCTGATAGTAGCTCTGATTCTGCACCTGTGTGGCCTGGGATTATAGTAAGGAACAGTTTTTCTTATTTATTGCTGGTAATGGTAGTGGTTCTTGGAGTCAAATCCAGGGCCATATTCATGCTAGGCAACCATTGTGCCATCTACATCCTGAGCGCCTGTATTTATCAGCACTCATGCTATAGGCAGCCAGTTCTGAAGACTTGTGTTTTTGAAGACAGGGTCTTCCTTATATGGCCCAGGCTTGTTTTCTTGTTTTGAACACGTGATCCTTCTGCTTCTGTATCCACAGTGCTGGGATTGTAAGTATGAAACATGCCCAGCCCCTGTTCCTAACTTACTTTTACTACTGCAAACATAGAGGGAGGCTGATGTTAGTGCTTGACACTAAGTCCGACAACCCGAGTTACATCCTTGTTACCCTATCAGTGGAAGGAGAGTCAATTCTTTAAAGTTATCCTCTGGCTTCCATGCTTGCATTGTGGCATGCCCCGCCCCCCCACCCCCCCGTAAATGTAACAACAAAGCAAAACCAAAAATATTTACAAAAAAAAAAAAAAAAAAACTAGACATGGGCTTGCCGCATTCCTCTAGTTTTCCATTCCTTCTCAACAAAATATGAGTAACATGTGTTTGAGACTGTTGCTTGCCTGAATGTGTGTACACCGTGTACACTGCATTCTGGTGTCTGCAAAGATCGAGAGGCTGTCGAGTACACTGGGACTGGAGTTACAAATAGTTGTGAGCCTGCCATGAAGGTGCTTGGAACTGAACTTGGATTTCTGAAAGAGCAAGTGTTCTTAAACACTGAACCATCATTCCAACTCCACAGACAACTTTTTATTTTTTTAAGATTTATTTCATGGCTGGGCGTTGGTGGCACATGCCTTTAATCCCAGTACTCGGGAGGCAGAGGCAGGTAAATCTCTGTGAGTTCGAGGCCAGCCTGGTCTACAGAGTGAGTGCCAGGACAGGCTTGAAAACAATACAGAAAAACCCTGCCTCAAAAAACAAACAAAAAAGATTTATTTATTTTGCCTGCATGGATGTATGTGTACCATGTATGTGCCCAAGGAGGCCAGAGTGGGTATAAAGTCCTCTGGAACTGTAATTACAATAGGGAGTTGCCATGTGGGTGCTGGGAATTAAACCCTAGTCCTTTGTAAGAGCAGTGAGCACCCTTAACCACTGAGCCAACTCTCCACCCCCAAACAACTTTTATTACTCATCTTGGGTGGTGGTGGCATATGCCTTTAATCCCTGTACTGGGGAGGCAGAGGCAGGCCAGCCTGGTCTATAGAGCTGCACACAGAAATCCTGCTCCTGAGGAGGGAGGGCCTAGGCCCTACCTCAAATGACTTGACAGATTTTGATGATCCCTCCCTGTGGAGTGGGGGGATGGATAGGATGAGAGGGGGTGGGGGGCATGGGAGGGAGTGGGAATTGGGATCAATATGTAAAATTAAAAATTATATGAATATAAAATTATACACACACACACACACACACACACATATATATATATATATATATATATATATATATATATACACACACATAAATCCTAGCCCTGAAGAAAATGAATGAATGAATAGATAAATATGTCATGCATCTCCCAACTACCTGTAACTCCAACTTCAGAGCATGCACCATCACCACAAACCATCTTATTTTTATTACTTTTAAATTATATGTATATAGCCAGGTGATGGTGGTGAACACCTTTAGTCCCAGCACTCAGGAAGCAGAGACAAGGAGGACCTCTGTGAGTTCAAGGCCAGCTTGGGGTACAGAGCGAGTTCAGGACAGGCTCCTGAACTCCTGAGACAGAAAAACCCTGTCTCAAAAAACCAAAATAATAATAAAAATGGTTCTATATAAGTTCCAAACCTAGCTTGATGAATCAATGTACTTGTTTTTTGTCCTAACTAATGGGTGTCCCTCTCTTCACTCCACCAGACAGGGTTTCTGTAGCCCTGGCTGTCCTGGAACTGTCTATTTAGACCAGGCTGGCCTTGAACTCACAGAGATCTGCCTGCCTCTGCCTCCCCAATGTTAGGATTAAAGGTGTGTGCCACCACCTTCATGCTGTATTTACTGTTTTTGCCTGTGTAACAGGAGTGAGACTCTTGGGCAGTTGCTTCATTAAAAAGCTGCACCCTGGCCCCAGTGGCAATTTAAGAAAGCAGCACCATTCCCTGGTAACTCTAGTCAACTTTTACCTGTACATCCTAGCACTTCTCAAGAGTACATGTTACTGGGACTGCTAGGGTTGGGGGTGTAGTGGGAATGGTGACTCAGCTCTCAGGTGAGTGGCTGATGATCAGGACATCTATAGGGAATATGGATAGGGTCTCCTATGGGCAGCTGTTCTGATTCATGATGGCAATTATATCAGTTCCACCACAATGTACTTATTTGGCAGGTGAGAAAACAAGATCTAGGAAAACTTTTGTTTTCCAAGACAGGGTTTCTCTGTAGCTTTGGAGCCAGTCCTGGTACTGTCTCTGTGGGCCAGCCTGGCCTCGGAACTCACAGAGACCTGCCTGCCTCTGGTTCCTGAGTGCTGGGATTAAAAGTGTGTACCACCACCACCTGTCTAGAAAAACTTAAAAAAAATTTTTTCCCATATGTACAGGTGTTTTGACTACATGTATGTATATGTGCACTACTTTTGTGCCTGATGATTCAGAGGCCAGAAGAGGGCAACCTGTAAAGGGCAGCTTCCTTGAGTTGTATAGGACAAACGCAGATTTGTCCTACAAAATGAGATTTATTACCCCAGAGGGGCAAGCAGTAGGTGAGGCTGCCTCTGGATTGGGCAAAGGCAGACAGCAAGCAGCAGCAAGTATTTTTTGCTGAGGTGAGTTTTTAAGGAGAAAATGGGGAGTCTGTGTTAGGGTGAATTAGTGATTTCTGACTGGACATGTTAGCCAAATAATGAATTTTGATGGGTGCTTTGTTTCAGAGATGAGTCAGTGGCCAAATAAGGGACTAGGCCTGAGGGCTATCTTAAGGAGTGTGATCTAATTCCCTGGAACTATAGTTGGAAATGGCTGTGAGCCACCATGTGGACCTAGGTCCTCTGGAAGAGCTGTCACAAAGCTGTCTCTCTAGCCTTTTAAAACTGACTATTGTTATTCAGAGGGGTTTCTGTATCCAACATTATATGAAAAACTTTAGGGGCTGGAGAAATGGCTCAGCAGTTAAGAGCATTGACTGCTCTTCCAGAGGACCTTGGATTCACAGCACCCACATGGCAGCTAAGAATTGTCTGTAACTCCAACATCTGACACCCTCACAAGACATACATGTATGCAAAACACCAATGCACTTAAGAAAGGAAGGATGGAAGGTAGGAAGGAAGGGACTTCAGAGATGGCTCATTGGTTAAGAGCACTGGCTGCTCTTCCAGAGGATCCAGGTTCATCACCCCATGGCAGTTTACAACTGTCTGTATCTTCACTTTCAGGGGATTTAACACCTTCACACCAATGCACATAAAGTTAAATAGATTAAAAAAAAAAAAAAAAAAAGAATTTTAGGCTGGGTACGGTAGCACCTATCCTTAGTCCCAGCACTCAGAAGGCAGGTAGATCTGAGTTTGAGGTAGGCCTGGTCTACAAAGTGAATTCCCTGACAGCCAAGGTCACACAGAGAAACCCTGTCTTGAAAAACAAAATACAAAAGAAACAAAAGGGTGGAGGGCGGGGTGTTGGTGTCGCTCGCCTTTAATCCTAGCACGCAGGAGGCAGAGGCAGATTGATCTCTGTGAGTTTGAGGCCAGCCTGGTCTACAGAGCTAGTTCCAGGACAGGCCCCAAAGCAATACAGAGAACCCATGCCTCGAAAAATAAAAACAAACAAACAGAACAAAAAACAACTTTTCATAAGTCATTTCAAGTGACTTATACTGTGTAAGGCAGCTGGCCACTTGTTCAGGGTTATATTGCCAACAATGGCATAGTCATCCAAATGGACTCCTTTAGATGGTAAAATCTTTAAGGGCAAGAAGACCTATAATAAGCCAGGGTAGTGGTAAGCATCTAGTCTCAGATACTCTGGAGGCTGAGGAAGAAAGAGTACCTGAGCAAATTACAGAACAGACTGGGTAGTGTTGCTCTAAAACACAAGGCAAAGCTAGGTGTGGTGGAATACCTTTAATAAGCACTTGGGAGAAAGAGGCAGGAGGATCTGGAGACACTCTCTACAAACAAACAACAAACCGAAAAGAGAAACACGCTATATTATTAAATTATTTAGAAAAAAATCTGAGAGACTGTCCTATCATGTAGCCCTGGCTGTCCTAGGTCTTGATTTGTAGACCAGGTTGTTATCCAGCGCCAGGATTACAAGGGTTGAATCGGAACTGTTTACTAAATGTTGCTGAGTTGCACATTTGTGCTATTGCTGTTAGGAAAAATAATTAGGTCGCACTGTGAATGAAAGGTCCCTGGTTCTTTTCATGTGTCGATGAGGACCTTCAGGGGTAGGGATGGGGTGGGAGAGAAGGTTGCGAGGCTGTGACCGATGTGACGCGGAACCAAAGAACTAGGGCTTCGGACTTGGCCGGACTGATTTTCCTGACAGGCGGGGTCGCTGGTTTCTGTCGCGTTTCCAGTCAGCGCGCATGCGTCGCCTGTGCTTCGCCGCTCCCGCCTCAGGCTCCGGG